TGACCTCCTCCCTGGGGGACAGACAACCGAAAAGTGGGTGAAGGGAGACGTCGGACAGGGCAAGATATGACAAAATAATAATTTATAAATTATCAAGGGTTCATGAGGGACTGGGGAGCGGGGAGGGAGGGGGAAAAAATGAGGACCTGATGCCAGGGGCTTAAATGGAGAGCAACTGTTTTGAGAATGATGAGGGCAATGAATGTACAAATGTGCTTTACACAATTAATGTATGTATGGATTGTGATAAGAGTTGTACGCGCCCCTAATAAAACGATTTAAAAATGAATACCCCCCCCAAAAAAAACCAAACTAAACTAAGAACCCTCCAACTCACTACCATCGAGTGATTCCAACTCACTACCATCGAGTGATTCCAACTCACTACCATCGAGTGATTCCAACTCACCACTACGCTAACCTAGGGCAGTCACGTGACATTGCACGCATTCGGCCCACAGCCTGAAAAACTCCGCGTTCTAGTCTCAATCGTCCTCAAGGTCACCCAGGGTCCACGTGAAGCCCTCTGGCTCCGGGGCCTCAAGGGCGCCTGGCCTTCCCTGCTCGGCGCTTTACGGACCAGCACGGCAGCCCCCACGCCGAGGCAGCGCCCGACTGCGCATGCGCGGCTCCTCCGTACGGAAGCCGGGGGGGCAGGGGGCGGGGCCAACGCTGGCGGGCGCGGGGCAAATGGCGGCGTCGGTGGCGGCGGCTGCGAACGGGACCGGAGGGAGCACCGGGATGGAGGTGGATGCCTCAGGTAACGGGCGCGGCGGGGACGGCGTCTGCGGCCAAAGCTTCCGGGACTGCCGGGAGAAGCCTGAAGGGCAGGAGGGCTGCATCTTTCCCTGCGACCGCTCGCCGGCGGGACGTGGGGCCCGGCATCTGCCGTCCCCGGCTCGCGTCTCTAGGGACTGAGACCTCGTCTTGGCTCTCTCCGCTCTCCTCAGCCCCCAGCGTGATGGCCTCCGGAGTGACCGGGAGCGTGTCCGTCGCTCTTCATCCCCTGGTCATTCTCAATATCTCAGACCATTGGATCCGCATGCGCTCCCAGGAGGGGCGGCCTATGCAGGGTGAGTGTTCGCCATCATTTCCCAGACCCCCTCCTCTTTCCTGGTGGCCTTCCCTAAAGGGTGAACTTTTCCCCGTTCACTCCTGGCTCCTTGTACTGTGGCCGACTCCCTTGTCCCGCTCAACTTCCCAGGGCTTGCTTCCTACTGATCTCAGGCCCTCAGGTAAAAGTTTCGCCGAGGGGCTTTGGCTAACCGAGTTGGGCTGCTAATCTCAAGGTCAGCGGCTCGAGGGAGCTCTCTGCTTCCGTACAGCATTACAGACAGGGGCAGCTTTAGCCTGCCCTCTAGGGTCGCCTGTAAAGTTTGAGTTATTGAGGACTTGCTGGTTGGTTGTCGGGAGTGTATGAATCTTATCGTTCGTAGTGGGTGCTGCATACAGTGTTGAAACTGCAACACGTGATTTGCTGATGTTCTCAGATGCAGTTGTTCGATGTTACCGGTTTCTAAGGAGACTGGTAATAAAAAGACACTGATGAAAACAAGACAGGTATATTCGTTGGCGCCTGTCAGAGCTGACTAGGGAGTCCTGAGAACGGAACCCGGTGGAAGTCAGGACTACGTTTTCTCCCTTCATTTGTCTTCCCCCTTCAGTGATCGGGGCTCTGATCGGGAAGCAGGAAGGCCGAAATATAGAGGTGATGAATTCCTTTGAGCTGCTGTCCCACACCGTGGAAGAGAAGATTGTCATTGACAAGGAGTACTATTACACCAAGGAGGAGCAGTGTGAGAGGGGAATAGAAGTGGGGGGTGGGAGGGAGGAGAAACAGAATACAGTTAGGAAGAAACCAACAGAATGGCATGAGAGAACAGCCGGTGTCAGATACAGTAGCTGAAAGCTCAGGGAAAAAGAGCACGTTCATGTATTCCCCGGGCTCCCTCCTCACCCACCCCCAAAAAACGAAAGGGTAAGAGACAACAGGTAAAGGTCATCGCTTTACACCGAGACAAGATTTGGAGGGAGATGGTGCAATAGGAGCTCCCATTGGAGGGTGGTTTGGAGGACTACGTTGTACCTGGACGCCTTCTTCTTCAGTTAAACAGGTTTTCAAGGACTTGGAGTTTCTGGGTTGGTATACCACAGGGGGGCCGCCTGACCCCTCGGACATCCACGTCCATAAGCAGGTAGGCTCACATGTGTGCATGTCCCGGCAGAGACTAGAGGACAAGGGGAAGAGGAGAGGGCGGGCACTGATGTCTCTGGCCTCCTTCCTCCTGGTCCAGGTGTGTGAGATAATCGAGAGTCCCCTCTTTCTGAAGTTGAACCCTATGACCAAACATACAGATGTGAGTAAACCCAGTTTGGGCTATGTGCCTTTTGTCCTCTGCCGTCTTTTACCGCGTGACATTGCTTCTGTTGGCCAATGTTTGGTTGGCCTTTCAGTGACATGGTATGTCTGTTGGCGAATACTGTCACTTTGGCCAGTTAACACCAGGCTCGCACTTTCTGCATATGTAAAAGAGATGGGCTCTACTTCCTTAGGTTCCTGGGAAGCTTGAATGAGAAACTGTGTAAAGGCCGGCTTCAGTCAGTTCTTGACAATCTGCCGCGAGGCCTGACCTCCATCTCCCCTTTACATTGCAGCTTCCAGTCAGCGTGTTTGAGTCTGTCATCGATATAATCAATGGAGAGGTAATATCCTGCCCTTCAACCCTCAAGGCTCTGCTTCGGGCCGTTTCCGGCGTTTGACCCTGTCGGGGCGGGGGGGCTCTGCTCTGTAGGCCACAATGCTGTTTGCTGAGCTGACTTACACTCTGGCCACAGAGGAAGCCGAACGTATTGGCGTTGACCATGTGGCCCGGATGACAGCCACAGGCAGTGGCGAGAACTCAACTGGTAATGCAGCCCTGGGGAGTTGGCTTGCAAGTGGGGGTAGAAGGCAGGCTGCATGCCAGCTCACCTTCCCCGTCCTTGTCCCCGCAGTGGCTGAACACCTGATCGCACAGCACAGTGCCATCAAGATGCTCCACAGCCGGGTCAAAGTCATCTTGGAGTACGTCAAGGCCTCCGAAGCGGGTAGGATGAGTGTCTCCCCGGCACACCTCACGCTGCCCTGCACTCCCCAAGGAAGCAACAGCTTCCCTATTAACCGCAGCCCGTTTCTGTGCCTCTAGGAGAGGTCCCTTTTAACCACGAGATACTGAGGGAGGCCTATGCACTCTGTCACTGCCTCCCTGTACTGAGCACAGACAAGTTCAAGACAGACTTCTACGATGTGAGTGTCAGACCCCGGGCCAGAGGGGGGTGAGGCCTTGCTGTTTGCAGGCAGACCTCAGATGCTGGGATCCCCGAGCGAGCCAGCGGGCTGGGAAGGAGCCCACTGGGAACCAGTGCTTTCTTTCCCTCCCAGCAATGCAATGACGTGGGGCTCATGGCCTACCTGGGCACCATCACCAAAACATGTAACACCATGAACCAGTTTGTGAACAAGTTCAATGTGCTCTACGATCGACAAGGCATCGGCAGGCGCATGCGGGGGCTCTTCTTCTGAGCGGGCACTGGAAGGATGCGCCACAGATGCCACACTACTGTCCGAAAGGGGGAGGAGTGACTCCTTCCAGGAACCTTTGTGTCATTAATAAAGGGAGTAGCCCCTTGGCATCCCTGCCAGTGGCCGTGTCCTCTGTTAGGCACCACACAGGCCCCTCAGGCCAACCTTGTTTAGAACCACCCCCATGAGCTCCTCTCCACAAACTCATGATGGGAGTTCGCTACTTGAACTTGTGCTGTCAGGTGGACATTTACATCAAGCTGAAAACTGCCTGCTTCTAAGTGGCATTTGCCCTTCCTTTTAAGCCACCGCTGTAAACACAAGACTTACTCTTCCAGAATTCCTTTAGCCCTGTGGTCTCCATAAAAGGGAATTAGACATTTTACTCATTTTCTAAACCCCGAAGTTGGTTCTGCCTCTGGGGGTTTCTGGAGCTTTCGGTCTTTATGGGAGCACCTTTCTCCTGCAGAGTGGCCGATGGTTTCAGATGGCTGACCTTGCAAGTAGCAGCCCAATCCACTCATCACTGGGGTCAACTCAAGCCTGGATCCTTATGGATGCTGGGGGCAGGTTAAGAGCATAGCGGGTGTTTTCCCAATCATTGCTAACATCCATCAAATGCTGTCTATACCTATATAAATGCTGTGAGCTTGCCTTGAGGCATAAATACTGCTGTTGCCCATGATTCAGATTTGAGAGCGTTCTGAGGTTGGGTAGCTGTGTGTTAATTGGTGCTGGATACATTTCCTTACGTCTTCAGGGTTTGCTTGACTCTCCCACTGGCTGTTCTTTCTAGAGCCGGACAGGGACAGGCACCTAGCGGAAGGCCCAGTGAATGGGACAAGTGGAGGAGCTCTCATGACTGGGTTCCTGGCATAGGGAAGAGGAATCTGGATGTTGTGGTTAAGTGCCACAGAGTTCTGACCCACAGTGACCCTATGCACAAGAGAACACATCTCTGGTGGAGTGCATGAACTGGTATAGAAGCAGCTGAGAATAGAACAAGTAGGAACCAAGAAAACTGACAAACCCAGATTAGAAGGTGATCTGTAAACAAGTTTTAATAGCAAAAGCAGTAAAACAAGGTTAAGTGCAGCAGTGTGTGTGTGTGTGGGGGGGAGCTGTTTCTCCACCCCACTAGGGCATCATACCCTCCATAGGTGAGTGGACCCCCCCCTCCCTCCAGTGTCTGGAAGAAGCTGGAATCAGACAAAAGTGATCCTTGTCCGGGCTGTGTTGACCTGCCAGACGTTCAGCTCCTCATATTCATCCAGTGCCGCCTGGAACTGAGCGGGTGTGAAGCCTCGGGATATGCAGCGCTGCTCTGCTTCCGAGAAGCGGACACTCTGGGCCCCAGAGACCAGCTCCCGGACAGTGGCAAAGATCACATCTGCTGGTCTCTGAGCTCTGAAGGAAACAGGGTGGGTGTGTCAGGTGGGTGCAAACAGATCACCAACAGGGCAGTGGGCAGCATTAGAACTCACCAGGCCAAACTTGGATACGTGTGGACACAGAAGCCACAAGGATAGACTACTCCGATAAATGACTCACCTCGCTGTTTGCCCCTTGTCGCCTAGAAGAGAGTCCTTGGACATCTCCATCAGCCTTATGGCTTCGTTCACATCTTCCTTCTCCACCGTGTCCACCATCCGCAGCCGGGCCTACGAGGGGAGCAGGAAAGAGATGGGAACAAGAGGAGGGGGATGGAATCGCGTCAGTGAACACCTTGTTCCAATTTTAAGAAAATCAACTGTGTAGGAGTCCAGAGCCCCACACCTCACCACCCCCTTCCTTGTATCACAACCCCAAATATCTGCAGTGTTGGGCCGGCACTGTCAGACCGAGACAAGTGCAATGCCCAGGGCAGCGTCCAGCAATTGCCCAAGTCTCCGCCTCTCAACACTGGCCAGTCCCGGTGTTCAGCTGTCCTGTGAGGGAGACCAGACCCTTCTGAACTCCACTGGGCTCCCCACCATGACAGATGGAGCTGGGGGAGCTCTGCCAAGAAGGCAGCTGATGGGTGGAGAGGTTGTGTCTCAGGGGCTCGGGAAGTGCTAGCTCAGCAGTAGGTCGGTAATCACACTACCTGCACGAACAGCACTTTGGAGCCCCCAGGACTAATGTCCAAGATGCATATGGGCTCCAGGACCCTGGAGGGAGACAACCCTCCGCAGGGCTGAGTTGCCCCTCCCTCCCTGGCTGCGGTGCATGCCCTACCGGAGCAGCAAGTACCCACAGTGCGGTAGCACGGAGAGGACCACTATCTGCACTGTCAGCACTTTAGCCCCGGCAGGGCCTGAGTGGGAGGGAGGCGACAGGTGGGAGAGGGAACCGTGTGTGATCAGGTGGCCAGAGTTCAGACCATTCAGGAGCAGTGGGGCCAGCCACTCACCAGAGCAGTGGAAAGTCGCAGGATAGCCAGCAGTGTCCGAGCGGATGTATAGGTGGCATCCTTACTAGCCCAGGCCTCTCGCCTCATCTCTACGTACGCGGCAGTGAGGTAGTCCGCCAGGGACTCGGGGACCGTGGGCTGCTTCTCACGGCACATAGCTATGTAACGTCTGGGCAGAGGGTCATGGGAAAGCAGAAAAGGTAGATGGGTGTGGAGAACTCTTTACACTTGGGAATTCTCCCCTTCACTTCCCTCCCCCAACACACACACACACACACACACACACTCTCTCTCTCTCTCTCTCTCCCCCTTACTGGAGTGAGGAGGTTGTTGTTTAACTAGGAGACCTAAAACTTGGGGACACTTATTTAGGTATCTTGACTAACAATGATGCATTTCTCCAAACCGAAGAAATCCACTGCTGTTTGGTATATTACGAATGTGGCTAGCAGTGTTGTCCTGCAGAGCAGCGGGTTGGTTTGATTGCCAACCTTCGCTGGCAGCCGAGCACTTAAACACAGCGCCACCAATCCTTTCAGAAAGTATGAATAAGACAAAACTGAACAACTGCCATCGAGCGAACACTGCTCATAGCCAGGACAGGCTAGAAGGGCTCCCGGGGGCTTTGGGAAGCTGTCCTCCTTGACTGGGGCACACCGCTGCTTCCTTCCCTTGCTGAGTGGGCTCACACAACGGGCCGCTCATTGAAGAGTGCAATGCATGCCTAATCCACCATGCGCCTGGCTCCCAAAGCCCCCAATTTCCTGCAAAATGGCCTACTTCTGAGGGAAATGGCTTTTTTCCAAAGACCTATCTGTGGTACACCATATGGCTAAAGCTTAAGCCAGCAAAAATCCAGAACTGGCATTGTGTGTGTCTGTGTGCACACTGTGTAGGAAAACCCCAAGGGTTCACCGGGAGCCCTGAGAAAGAACCAGCTTTGTCTAGCTTGTGCACTTGCTACCTGAGACAATGAAGGAGTAGACAGACACAGCCCAACCAGCATCTTCCTCACTGCCCTCAGACTCATGAGACGTTCAAGGGGGAGGTGGCACTTCTCTAGAAACAAAAACTTTTGGGGAAATACATCCGCAGCCAAAGGCAACCACCAGCCCATGCCCAGCTCTCCTACCTCATAAGCTTCATGTCCAAAGGTTCAAACTGTGCTGGGGGCTGCCGGCTGTGCTGGTGCACATAGGTGATGTGCTGGGCCAATCTGGGAAGGAGCAGAGGGAAGTGGTGAGTCTTTGTGCTACATGCTCGGGTCCCTGAACCGGATCCTCCAGTTTGGTGGGCAAATGCTCCCAGAGAAAGAAGCCTAAGCATTTGGGCCCCTGCTCTATGGGGGGTGAGCGAACAGTACTGCTATGGGCAGAAACCTTTGGGATTTCACTTCCCACCTGACAGAGTAGACCTAAGTGATGTCTCCCTGGGGTTTAACATCCCTCACCGCAGGTCATTGTCACGGTCAGGCCGGTCCTGGATCAGCCAGAGGAGGTCAAATCGGGAGAGGAGCGCAGCGGGAAGCTGTATGTTCTGCTCCAAGCTGCGGCGAGGGTTATAGCGCCCGTAGGCGGGGTTGGCCGCGGCCAGGATGGAGCAGCGGGCGTTGAGAGTGGTGAGAATGCCCGCCTTGGCGATGGAAATTGTCTGCTGCTCCATGACCTCGTGGATGGCTGTGCGGTCAGCCTCAGCCATCTTGTCAAACTCATCAATGCAGCACACGCCCTGGTCCGCCAGCACGAGGGCCCCACCCTCCAGGGTCAGCTCTCCCGTCACGGAGTCTCTCAGCACGGCTGCGGTTAGCCCCACTCCGGAGGAGCCGCGGCCGGTTGTGTACTGGCCTGGATGGAAGGGCAGGGAGAGGACAGCAGCAGACAGGTTTAACCAAGGGAAAGGGAAGCAAAGGACACGAGCTAATGGGACCAAGTGAGACAAGATCTACACCTAACCCAGTGGTTTGCAACCTTCCTCATGCCTTGACCCTTTCCTACCCAACCATAAGATTATTTCCATTGCTACTTCATCACTGTAATTTTGCTGCTGTTATGAATTAGAGGAACTCCAAAGGGGTCACGACCCACAGATTGAGAACTGACCTACCTGCTCTGTACACGCCAGGCCAGAGGCTGTTGGAGCCACTGAGAATCCCTATCAGCCACAGCTCCCTCCCCTAGAACCTCAAGACCTGCATTCCTCGCCCCTGGCCTTCAGATCCAAGGGAGTATAAGCACTGCGGTCCCACAGATGACTCACTGCGAGGCGCCAGACGATCAATGTAAGACAGGAGCTGAGACTTGGCCACACCGGGATCCCCCATCAGGCAGATGTTGATGTTGCCTGCAAGGAAGGAAGACCCTGAGACTCTCCTTGTTTTGAGCCTTGTGTTCTTTCTTATTACGCCCCCTTGTGCCCATGAGGACAAGATGCCAGCAGCCCTATTCTGTGCCCTCCCACTTTCCCTCCAACAAGGTCATTCTCTGCAGCTCTTCCCTCAACACTCTTTTACCTCTGATCTTCATGCCTCGAGGGGACTGGTCCACACCGCCCACTAGCAGGAGCAAGAGTGCCTTCTTCACGTCCTCATGCCCATAAATCTCAGGAGCAATGGAGGCAGCCAACTTCTCATAGAAATCCTCCTCTACAGGGGAGTGCAGCGATTATTCACTAGGGACAAGGGCTTGGAAGAAAGCAAAGCGGCAGCCTTCCCCTCAGCCCTCACCTGCAATCTGCCTCAGCTCCTCCCGGCTCAGTTCCCCAGCCCCCGCCTCGTCATCCTCACTCTTATTCATCTTCACAAGACGATGGGCTTCCAGGTAGGTCTCTGAGAGCAAACCCTAAGGTAAAAAAATCCTGGGATATGAATGGAATCCCTTCACCTTATTCACCCACCGGATCCCCCAAGGGTTCCCAGAGCCCATTTCAAAACAATTTGTTTGGCTGCTGGTTAAACAAGTTTCTTTGGGGTGGGTGGGCGAGTGTGTGACAAGTGAACAGGGAAAAAAACTGTCTCGCTACCCAAGTCAGAACTCCCTTTCTTACCTGTACCACCTGTCGGAACCCAGTTCGCAGAAGTGGCAAGAATATACCAGTGACACTGACGTGGTCTCCAGGCTGAGCAATCCTCGTGTTTTCTCCTTCTATCATCACTGTGATGCTCCGAGGGATATTCCCTACAGGCACTTGGTCGCTCTAAGGGAAGGAGAGGAGAACAGAGCTCAGTCCCCACCCCACGACCACCCTAGCCTCCAGAGTCAGCCTCAGACAGGCCAACCAGACCTCCTGGAACTTCCCCTCACTAACTCAGAGGGCCAGCCAAGGTCAGATCTCCCTCCTCTCTAGACCCTAGTTTCTGAAAACCCTTTCTACCTTTTAACTCCAGAAACTTGCAACACAAGCAAGTGCTGCTAGACATCTTGGATCCCCGACACCTGTCTGTCGCCAAGTGTTCTGCCAACCCCACATGACTTCTCTGGCCTCTGTCACCCCTTCTGCCTGCCTGCCACTCCACCAGCGACTTTTTGAGCAGACTGCCTGAGCCACATACCCCAAACTCACATGTTCCTGCAGCTTCATTTCCTGGAACCTGATGAATTTGGAGCCCCGGGTCTGCAGGTATAGCCGCCCTCCAGAGCGGTTGGTTTGGCACTCCTGACTCGGGCACATGATCAGAGGCATGAAGGTTGGAGATTGGATCTAGGATGTCAGAAAGAATACCAAACACCATCAAGGAAAAAGATCCCATGGTGGCCGGTCACTTGAACCACCCCAGGTCTGTCTAGAGCATCTTTTAATACTAACACCCTGGATCACCAGTGATAGGTATCAAGGTGAGGCAAGACCGCTACAAGGCAGAACAAAGAAAGAGCAGAGAGACATCAGTGAGCAAAATGAACTCTCCCCAAAAGTAACAGTTAACTGCTTTCTCCTTGCCCGCTCTGTCCGTACCGGCTGGTAGGTCTCTGCCCCACACTGATCGCACGTGTAGGTGGCCACCACCATCCTGGGCTTGACCTCAGAGACGCGAGTGACGATGCCTCGCACAGTTACCAACTTCCCCACGCAGTCTGCCCGCACTTCTCGGATCACACGAGGCTTGTTGCTGCTGGGGCCCTGAAAGTACAACTCACTGAGAGGGCAAAGTGGGCATGAGCTAGGGTCTGGAGGACCAAGCCCTCCCCTGTCTCCCAAAGGCCACTCACAATCTACGCATGAGCTCAGGGGGGTACTGGTTCTGGGGGCTGCGGGCAGCTCCAGGGTCCCGCGTCCGCTGCTCCATCATGAGCCGGTGCTCAATGTACACATCGAGGACATCTTTATTGACCACCTACCAGCAGGAGAAAGAAAAGGAAAACAAGCAACAGGGTATTTAGAAGAAAGGACGCCAAGAGTGGCAAAAGACTCAAACAGAAGCCATCCCCTCCCTTTTCTGCCAGCGGCAAACAAAAAACAAACCAACACACTCCACTGTCTAAGAAGTTGGTTAAAAATCCAAGCCTATTTGCCCAGCACTTCCCACATCCTATCCGCTCACCTCCCTCTCCTTGTACTGAGGCAAGAGTTCTTGTACAGCGTCAGCAAAAAGCCTTGTATAGCGCTTGGCGTTCTCACAAATGGAGTCCACCAACTCAGGGTCTTCCTCCGCTACGTCATCCAGGTCCACATACAGCGCCACTTGTTCACGATGAGCCATGCGAACCTGTAGTGGGGAAAAGATAGCAACACTTCAAGGGCCAGCTTGATCTTGTTCACACCTGAGGTGCACAGATCCGTCTCTGAGGGACAACAATACTTGCTCCAAAAAGATACCCCAACCCCAGGTGTTAAAGTCTTTTAACACCTTATTTCTGAAGAGTAAAGTTATTACAACATTCACTTAGCATAAACTGAGTGCCCATTACAGGAAAAGTTGCTCATAGAAGCTAGGCCACCTCCCCGGCCCCCCTACTCTTACCACTTACCAACTGGTTCCCATACTTAAACTGCTTCTTCCCAGATTCATCATCCTGGTAGAACTCTTGGAGGAACTTCTTGGCCTTTTCTACAAGGTACACATAAAACCATGAGGACCTGCCTGCCTTTCTTCCGATACCCGACTAAAACCCCTCTTTCCATTACACCGAATTCCTAAGCTACATTAATTTTAAGTGTTCAAGTAAGTCCACAAAATTCTCCCCCAACTGGGCAACTGCTTTTTCACAAGTCTGTTTCCAACTAGAAAAGACTAAGGGATCACCGCCTCTCAGGGTTCTCCCCAACACCGTCTGCACAGGGGAATCCCAGCCTCCGCCGTAATTAAAACTCTAAGGACCTGTCTCCAGTGGTCTCCCACACAGCAACACGGGCCCGTGGGCTCCCGATTAGTCTTCCACCCATGTACTTTTTCCTCTCCTCTTCTCTCCAGCTCATCCATCTCGCTCCTAGGCCCCTCTGCCCGCCACTGCTTCCGCTCTTAGTAAACAAAGAAGCACATGGGACCACGAGCCGGCCGCCTCACAGCCCGGGATTCCTCCGCCCAGGGCGGGAGCCCGCCGGCGATTGGCCAGTTCGACCAGACCACTCCGTCCCCCACCACGAGCTCTCTCCGCCGCCCGCTAAATCCCCACATTCCAGGCACGCCCCACCCGAGGCCGCTCGCGCCGAGGCCACGGCGCGGAAGGACACTGTTTACACACGACACTCCCTCGACCGCTGCGCGCAACTTCCGCCCTGTCTTCATTTCCGCCGCGAGAGTTGGCCCGCGAGAGCCAATCCCGGCGCGTAGCGGCTCCGGGCTTCCCGCCTCCAGGGCTTCGACGGGTCCCGGCCTGAGGCGGGAATCCGGCAGGGTCCACGCGGGGCAGGAGGCAACCCCAGGGACCACATCCCCAAAGCCCCTCCGTCAGAGCCACTTACGGCCCCGGTCTGACGGGCGTGCCCCCATCTACACCACGACCCCAAGCATTTCTCCCTCGGACTCGATGCTCCCGGGCACCGATCGGCCTGAGCCTCGCCGTTCCCCGGCTCTCCTCTGGCCGGATGCGTCCCCGAGCCCGGTCCCCCGAGCTCCCAGCCCACCCACAGGCGCCGGGTTAGCCAGAAGGCTGCCTGCCGTGCAGAGCTGCTCTCCCCAGCTTGCAGACGCTGACCTTTCTCGAGCGCGTAGTCCTTAAGCGCCATCGCTGCCGAGGGCCGCGCGGCAGCACTGGGCGGACTGTGGGAACCCGAGCCGCCAGGAGCAAAGAACGCCCGCGCACTGGACTGCGGCGGAGCAACCGAAATTGGCGCGAAACGTCGCCCCCCACGTGACCAGCGCCGTTAGGGGCGGGCCAATCGGAGGGCGCGGCCTGCCGCCTTCCCACTGTGGGCCGGCTCCGGCCGCCCCGCGTCTCGGCCAATCAGCGGCCGCGCCTGGGCGGAGTGCCGCGGGGGGAGCCGGGGCAGGAGGGTGGGAAGTGCGGGCGCTGCGGGGCGGGCGCCGGCTTTCCCGCGGTCCCGGCCGGCAAGGGTGGGGAGTCGCTCTTAAAGGGCCGGCCCACGCGCGGCCTTTTGTTCCGGGGCCGCAGAGCGACACCGGCCCAGGTTTCGCAGTCCTTTCTTCTGGTCTCCTTGCCAGAACGGCCATGATTTCCCAGTTCTTCATTCTGTCCTCCAAGGGGGACCCGCTCATCTACAAAGACTGTATCCTTGAGCCCAGGGGCCCCGGGTGGGGAGACTGGGCGGGGAGGGGCAGTGCCCCAGAGCCAAGCCGGTATGGCCCACTTCTTAACTGCCCTTCCATCCGGTCAGTCCGTGGGGACAGTGGAGGCCAGGATGTGGCCGAGCTCTTCTACCGGAAGCTGACGTGCCTGTCGGGCGAAGAGTCCCCGGTTGTCATGGTAACGGCCGCGCGAAGGAGGGCAGGCTAGAGGGTGGGGGGCGGGGGCCAAGGGGGGCTGTCTTCTCATTTGGATAAGAACGTTCTCCCAGGTATTATTACCCACAGTGCCGACATAGCAGGCACCGCCTCTTTAACTTGAAGCCTCCGAACCGGGGTGGGTGCTCTTCCAGGGCCGCTTTTGGCACTTTAGGATGGTGGGGCTTGGGGAGATTTCCTATTCACCCCAAATCACACACTGCACTCGGGCTGGGATGGGAGGTCATGTGGTCACCACCAGCCCTTCGCCTGTCTCTGTCTCAGCACCACGATGGCCGACATTTCATTCACATCAGACACAGCGGCCTCTATTTGGTGGCCACGACCTCAGAGAACATCTCTCCCTTCAGCCTCCTAGAGCTGCTCTCCCGGTAAGGAGGGCTGGGCTGGGCACAGCACCTGGGAGTGGGGCTCTCTGAGGAGTTGAAAATGCAGGCTCCTAACACTTCCCTAAGGAACTCGGGTCAAGGTTGGTCTCGTAATGATTGCATGCTGGGCTACTAACTGCAAGGTCAGCAATTTGAAATCACCAGCCCCTCCGAGAGAGGACGCCAACTGCCCCTGTAGAGCGGCTCAAGGGGAGCGAGTTTGTGGGGTTTGAGTCTTACTGTGTCTGCAGGCTAGCCACTCTCCTGGCTGATTACTGTGGCTCCCTGGGCGAGGGGACCATCTCCCGCAATGTGGCTCTTGTCTACGAGCTCCTGGATGAAGTGTTGGTAAGTGTCCCTCGCCCCTGTATGCAGTGCTCTGCCACAGGCTCCTGTTGTTGGGCAGCTCAGTTCCCCAGCAGTGACCATCCCTTCCCTTCTCCGATAGGACTATGGCTACGTGCAGACCACATCCATGGAGATGCTGAGGAACTTCATCCAGACGGAGGCCGTGGTCAGCAAGCCCTTCAGCCTCTTTGACCTCAGCAGTGTTGGCTTGGTCAGTGAAAGGGGAATGCGGTAAAGGAGGAGGAGGAGATTGGCTGGGAGTCTCAGACTGGGCTTGACTGCTCCGGGTTCTTCACAGTTCGGGGCTGAGACGCAACAGAGCAAAGTGGCCCCCAGCAGCGCGGCCAGCCGCCCTGTCCTCTCCAGTCGCTCTGAGCAGGTGAGGGAGGGATCAACGATGCCATGTTCTCCCAGTTTTTAAAATTTCTTTCTGGGACTCGAGAGTCCAAGATCCAGGCATTATCTTTCCACTTCCCCTGTACCTGGGTGTCCCTTCCCTCACCCCCATGTCCCTACCCCAGGGTCCTCTCCTAGCTGCCCAGTCCGAGCCTCCCTACCTTAAAACACAAGCCATCCAGCCTCCTCCAACCACCCAAGCCTCCTCTCTCCCTCAGAGTCAAAAGAATGAAGTATTTCTGGATGTGGTGGAGAGATTGTCCGTACTGATAGCATCTAATGTAAGTATGGAACCCAAACCCCGGGACAAAGCACACGGTGTATGGCAGCCTTGGGGTAGCCCACAGGCTGGGCATCCACCTCCCTGCTACCATCCTCAGGGCTCACTACTGAAGGTGGACGTACAGGGCGAAATCCGACTCAAGAGCTTTCTACCCAGCGGCTCTGGTGAGAACTCTGCAGGCCAGACCTAGCCCTGCTTAGGGTCAGGCTCCTTGGTGTGATAGATGCTGGCATTTGGTTACATTTCCGGATGTTTTCTTTGTTTTCCTGACAGAGATGTACATTGGCTTGACGGAGGAATTCTGTGTGGGGAAATCAGAACTGAGAGGTGAGGAAAAAGGTCTCTCTCGCCTAGATATTAAAAACACCCTGAAAGCTCATGCATAGTGACCCGATAGTGTAGGACAGGGCTACCTCTCTGGAGTTCTGAGATGGTAACTGTTATGGGAGTAGAAAACCTCATCATCTTTTTCCCTCAGCGGCTGGTAGTTTCAAACTGCTGACCTTGTGGTTACAGCTCAATTCTTAGGTATAAAAACTTACTGCCATCAAACCAATACCAACTTATAGCAACCCTATAGGACGTGGGCGAAATGCTCCTGAGTTCCTGAGACGAACTCTTGACAAGAGTAGACAGCCCTGTCTTTCTCCTGCAGAGCGGCTAGTGGTTTCAAACTGCTGAAGTTAGGGTTAGCAGCCCAACACTTAACCACTACACCACCAGGCTTCCTTACACTATATGGCAGCTATAGGCTCTGCCATCTGTTTCGCACAGACAAGGTGGATTATCGCCAGCTAGAGCAAGGGCATATGGATGCTTTGTAGACAGTCATCTCCTACCCACCACCTCCCCGGAAGTATGGGTTAGGAGAGGGCTTTTTCTCTCCTCTGCAGGGTATGGGCCAGGAATTCGGGTGGATGAGGTCTCCTTTCACAGCTCAGTGCATCTGGAAGAGTTTGAGTCTCACCGTATCCTCCGCTTGCAGCCCCCTCAAGGAGAGGTCAGGAGTGAGCATGTATTCCGCCCACTCTGGAAAGGGAGGCTGTGCAGGTGGGAGGAGACCCAGATAACCACTGCCTTTCTGGTTTCAGCTAACTGTGATGCGCTACCAACTCTCAGACGACCTCCCCTCCCCTCTCCCCTTCCGGCTTTTTCCCTCAGTGCAGTGGGACCGGGGCTCGGGCAGGTGAGACCATTCCCCGTGCTAGAAGTTCTCCACACATTCACAGGGTTCATGGTGGAGGGGTGGCAGTGGTTGGCAGGCAAGAATGAAGAGAAAGGCTTAGACCCTCCACATGGCCTTTGTCCCGTGTGTGTGCACAGCTTGGCTGCTGGAGCTGAGCTGGGTGTCAGCACCTTCTCACTTTGGGGCACAAGTATACCCAGCCACGCATGGAGGTCTGGGGGAGGGGGGGGGGGCTGAGGGTGAGATGCCAGCACGTGCCCTGAGTTACAGTATTCAACCCTTTCACTCAGGCTCCAGATTTACCTGAAGCTACGATGTGACCTACCTTCAAAGAGGTAAGGCGTTGGGTCTGGTCAGGCTTAGAGCAGCTGATATGAACAGGACACAGGGTCCTGAGACCCCCTTTGCTTCTTCATATGCAATCCCCCACCTCAGAGTCCTGAGTAGAGGCTCCCAGTTTGGGAAGGGGCTGGGGTGGCCCCTATAAAACAGGAGTGGCCTTAGAGGGGGGTGGGGACAAGTGACTACCTTCTGGAGGCTGACTGGACGCATTTCCTTGTAGTCAAGCTCTCAACGTCCGCCTGTACCTGCCCCTGCCTCGAGGTGTGGTCAGGTTAGTGTGGCCCCGGGAGGTGCTGGGGAGCTTTGCCAAACTGGGAGGGACGGGGGCTGGGGTGGGCCGTGGCGCACGAGTGGCCCATCCCCAGGCAGGTGGGGGCTGAGGCCAGCTCTGTCCTGTCCAGTCTCTCGCAGGAGCTGAGCAGCCCCGATCAGAAGGCGGAGTTGGGGGAAGGAGCCCTTCACTGGGATCTGCCTCGGGTTCAAGGAGGTTCTCAGCTTTCAGGCCTTTTCCAGGTATCAGCTGCTGGTTCTCAATCACCCTCTCCTCAGACCTCCATTTTCACCCCGGCCCCCCCCACCCCCAAGGCACTGCTCCCGCCTGGCCTCTTGGCTTCCCTGCCCCACCCTTTCAGCACCCCTCTTCCCACCTCTTCCTCACAGATGGACGTGCCAGGCCTCCCTGGGCCACCTGGCCAGGAGCCCTCCACTTCAGCCCCTCCATTAGGGCTGGGTCCTGCCGGCCTCTCCTTCGAACTTCCCCGGCACACGTGCTCAGGCCTCCAGGTCCGCTTCCTCAGGCTGGCGTTGCGGCCCTGCGGCAACACCAACCCCCACAAGTGGGTGCGGCACCTCAGCCACAGCGACGCCTATGTCATCCGGATCTGAGCGTCCCGAAGGACGGCGGCCTTGTGGCACAGGAAAGGGCTGTCACCTGGTTTCCCACCCTCTGGCCCCTGGATCCGGGTGGGTGAGCCCCGGAACCTAAAAGGCAGGAGGGCTCAAAAGCTCCCTGCCCTTCCGTGGCATCTAATAGATGGCACGGGACGTAAAAACGACTTTTTATTCCAAGAAACTGTACAAGGTCTAAAAAAGAAAATGCTGTGGGAGAAGTAGGCTTTGACTCCCATTCCATTCTGTGTGTGTGTGTGTAGAAACCGGAGGGGGAGAGGACAGTCAGCAGGTGTGCAGCAGCATCAGGGCGCAGGCTGAGGGGAGCCAGGTCCAGGGGGCTGGGAGCCATTAGCCTTCGGAGTCCCTGGGGCTGGAGGGGGGCTCTCCCCAGTGTCCTGCTTTCCCCCGCAGAGGGCGCTGCCCCCGAGAGGGGAGGGTGATGAGGCCGGAGGAACTGGCGAAGGGTGGGAGGTGGGACCACCTTTGCCTTCCCCAGTGGGTGGCAGGGACACCACGATGTACTTCTGGACATTACCCGGCCCAGCGGGAGCCGTGCTGGGGGGCGCGGCTGTGGCTGTGGAGACCAGCTTGACGATGGGCTGCACGCTGGGCACGGTGGTGGTGACCGGGGAGGTGGTGGTGGAGCCGGAGCCAGGAGCTGAGGTGCTGAGGGACAGGACCTATGGGGAGAAGAGGCAGTGCCCGTGGCCCTGGCGCTCTGGACAGGAAGACCTACTCCCAGAGGACTGAGGTGGACCCTGTAGACTGCTGCCAGTACAAGAGCCCAGCTCGGGCTTGGCCATTGCCTCCCACAGGACCCTGAGCAGCGTCCTTTCTCTCACTCTGGGCCCACTGTGAGTAGGCTCTGCTTTGGGGCACCCCCAGATGCCCGCGCGCTCACTGCACGTGGTTCCACGTACCTGTTGGGTGGATGCAGCGCCGGATGACGACATGACGATAAACTTGGTTGGAGGCGGCGAGGGCTGAGGGGGCGCAGCCGCTCGAGCGGACACCAGTGTCTGGACAGGCAGTGCAATGGAGCCAGGGACCTTCAGCAAGCCAGAGGTCCGCGGGCCAGGCTGAGGGGCCTGGGAGAGCGTCAGCGTGGGCCGGGGCTGTAGAGTAAGAGGCAAAAAGGAACCATGCACGTTGAAGAAAAAGGGTCTAGCGGGAAAACCTGGGCTGCTCCTCTTCTCCCGTGGCCTTGTGGGTCTGCTCATCCACCATTCACTAGGGGCCTCCACTCACCCAGGGTTCCAGCTCAGGGCGAGTGTGGGTGTCCATCAGGGTGCATACCTTTCCCGCTCAGAGTCACGGCTCCATCCCACCTAGGCTTTTTTCATGTCTTCCTCTGTCTCCTATTGGCTACCCGTCCCCCCCTACCCATCCCACTGCCACTGACCTGGGTGATAGTCAGCGTGGTCCTGTTGACCTGCTGAGCCTGTAGAGCGGCCTGGGCCCGGGCTTTGACCACGTGGGAACAGAGGAGGGGCCCAAGGGACCCGAATTCTGTCCGATAAGCATCCTGGTTGTCAGGAGGTGGTCGCAGCTTTGCCAGGACTGGGGCACAGTGTTTCTGCAGAGAAGGCAGAGAGACGGTTGGTTCTCCTAGGAGAGCGGCAGAGAGGGTGTGCACCCGTCACATCAGTGTGTTCCTAGGGGAGGCCAAGCTATGCTGGGGGTCTTTTTCTTAGGAATATACAGGCACCACCTAGTGTGAATGGGAAAGTTACTGAGTCGCTAGAGAAGCAACACCTAAGGGGACAGTGGATCTCTGGGGTGCTTTTTCAAGTGCAAACTGGGTCAAAGAAAAGCACTCCAGGGGACAGTACAGGCTCGCAGAAGTGACAAGCTAAGAGTCTGGCCCCTCTGCGTGTGCTCTGACTACATGAGGCAAAAGGGTCTGAATAAAAGGTTTGGGCGCCTTAAGCTCAAAGGGTCAACAGGGAGGGCAGGCTGGTTACCAGGAGCAGGCTCTGCACGTGGTCGGCTCCGATGCGGTCAATGTTGCTCAGCACGGGGCCGTCCAGGATGCTGCGGATCCGCTCCCCCTCCTGCTGCAGCCTCGGCAGGATCAGCGTCTTAATCACCTGTTGGCAATGCAGGGCCACCGGGTCACCACACACTCTCCCAGGTTGGGAGAGGGTGCCGTCCTCTATAACCTCATGACTGCCCACCCCCACCATTGTTGCCACGGGTTGGGGGTGTCTTACATCGTGCCCCAGCTCTGCCAAGCCTGCAATGGAGCCGTACCGAGTTGTCCATGGGGTCTTCTCATCCACCCAGCTCTATGGGGAAGGAAAGATAAATTTAGATGAAAAGGTTAAAGGACCCCAGTATTCCATCAACACTTCCAGTGCATATCATGCAGATGTTAGAGGGAGGCCAAAGTCCTCTAGATCACCCCCCGTCCCCATTCTCCCATCCCGGGTGGCATAGTGACCCCACTGGGCTGCTAACTGCAAGGTCAGCAGTTCGAAACCACCAGCCACCTCATGAGAGAGGAGGCATTCTACTTCCATAAAGAGTTGGTCTTGGAAACCCACAGGCGCAGTTCCACCCACACTCGAGTTGCTGTGCGTCAGAATGGAGTAGAGGGCAGGAAGCTACCTCATCTTCCCTGTCCCTTGTCTTCAGGGCCATTTGCGGTTGAGGTGAGGCTCCCCCTGCTCGCTTGGGGACAGTTGACACTGGGTGCTCTCGCTCACCTTGGTGAAGGTCTTGGTGATCCGAGACTGGATGTTGTTAGTGGTGGTGCTGAAATGTTTGCAGATCTGGGCCACCAGGCGGGCTGCAAAGTCCCGGAGGGCCCAGTGATTGTCCACGTCCGGTCGCAAGCACAGCTGCCTGCTCACGATGCAGGTCATCACCGCGGGGATCAACTCGTGCACCTGAGGGAGAAGTGGCAAGACAGTGTGGGCTCCGTCCAGCGGCCCTGGGACAGAAGAGCGGGTGGTGGGCAGGACCACTCACGTATTTTTCGAGATACAGTGTCGGGTTATCCATCAGCGCCTTGACCATCCGCATCAGATAGATGAGCAGGGCCAGGTTGTTCTGGACCACGTTCACGCGGACCTGAGGGAGGCGGGAGGGGACGGTGATATCCCTCGGATGAATTGCCTCACCCCTCCACCTCACTCCAGATCCTGGCCTCCCCGCATCCTCACCCCCTCTGAGATGAAGGTACTGAATCGTGGCAGCATCTGATAGAGCCCTGGGTCCGTAGCGATGCTTTGAAGAGCTTCCTGTGGGAGGACAGGGAGGTCAGGCAGGGGCGGGGACTGCAGGACCTCAAGGAAGGAGGGCCTTGTCGTGGAGTCAGGGTAAGGCGAGAAGGTGGGGGTCCTCACCGCTCTCTTGGCCTCACATGACCCCACACAGGCTTCCGTGATCTCCTTGTAATACAGCTGCTGTTCCACAGACAGCTCGTGGATACTTCGGGGTTTCAGCCGCAAAGGCCCCCCTTCCAGCAAGGGCGGCGCCTTCTTTTCTTTCCCTAGGTGAAGGGGGAGGACCGACACGTTAAAGCACTTCATGTCTACAGCCGTGCCACCCTGAAGCCATCTGACTTCCCACGCTCAGCAGGGTCGGCCTGGTTAGTGCTTGGCTGGAAGAAAAGAAAGCGCTTCCGAGGGACTTCAGCAACTTCGGTACATCAGACTCCTACCTCTCCCAGGAGTCCTGGGCTTCTAGGTCCTTCCTGGGACTCCCTAGCCTGAGTGTGCACCTCTGCCCCGAGCCTAGCCACTTCACAAAAAGCCACGGGACGCTGAGGGAGGGGTCAGGCGAGGCTTGGCCCGCAATGCTGACCTTTGCTGTCCGCTGAAGCTGCCCCTTGACCTTTGCCTTTCAGAGGGCCGTCGTCTTCCTGGCCTGGCTTTGCGGACTTCAGAGGTTCTGTGGCCTCGGCCTTCTGCTGCTCTTTGGGAGCTGGAGGGGAAGCAGTCACAGGGCAATGACAAGTGTGGACGGGGGAGGACAGAGGCCGAGAAAGATGGGTTCTGGGCCCAGAGATTACCTGGAGGTGGGTTTTCCGGTATAGCTGGCTGGCACCCTTCAATGCTCAACCAATGAGCTGTGAAGAAGGAAGGCATGAGGTTGGATTGCTTTTCGACGGAGGCTGGGGCGCAGCGCCACACGAGGAAGGCGTTTTGGTCCCTGACACCCTCACCCCACCCCGCCCGTTGTACAACTCACACCGAATCTCGCACTGAGGTTTTGCACCTGGGAGTTTCCTCCTCCCCGCCCACTTCCTCTCCCTTCCTCTGCCCCAACCTTTGAGGCAGACGTCCAGGGGCACCCGGGGCAGAGGGGTATTGATGATGTCGCTCAGGTCCACCTCCTTCTCCTCGTAGAAGTAAAGCTCCCGGCCTCCACCGGAGGCAAAACGGAAGGGAATGAACTCCTGGGCGTGGAAGCCGTAGAGCGGCTGCGTCGGGGAAAGATGGACACCAGGATGAGCTGGAAGCCTGGGGAGGCATATGCCGTGTCCAGGAGGCTGGACTCTTCCCCCCTCCTGCTGCCACCTCAGTCCTGCCCGCATCCTCTGATCTCCCAGTCACCTCGACATTCTTCAGTTTCAGAGCATAGTCAATGTCGCTGGTGGTCAGCTTCTGCCTCTTCCCCATGTGCATGAACTTCAAAGCATCCTGGGTGGCGGGGTGGGGGGACAACAGACACCATCAGCCCAAGACCCCGGGGAGGAACGGGGCCACCGGCCACCGCCTGCCAAAGAGACACAGCTTACCTGTGCGATTTCCTTGATGCGGTAGCTGACCTCGTCTGTCAGCAGCTGGCAGGTTTCCTCCTGAATCTGGGCGATGCCCATGGACTCGGCCACCACCTTCATCGACTCGGAGGGCAGCACAGTATTGCTGAGCTTCAGCTTCTTCTCCTCGGCCATTCTGGAGCCCGGCCGTCCCTGCCCCTAAGGGTGATGTCCAGGGTGGGATGATGGAGACCCTGGCAGACGAGAGAGAGAAGCGTGAGCCCCAAAGAGGAGGAACGGGAGAGGCCACAACTAAAGGGAGGGAGGGAAAGAACTTGGGGAACATCTTCTGTCCAACTGTCCACCCCCATGGTAACTGTGACAGGGTTGCAACAGAAAAGGAGAGGAATCCAATCCAATTGCACATGGCTTACTGAGCTCTGAATCTAAGCTGGGCACTGTGCAAGCGTGGTACCTTCTCCCACTGCCCCCCCCCCCAACGCACGCGTGCACACACACACACACACACACACATTGCCATCAAGCCCATTCAGTCTCAGCAATCCCACTGGACCGCGTAGACCTACCTCATGGGCTTTCCAAGAGGCTGACTATCACATTCCCTTACCCACCTGACGTTTGGTGGGTTCAAATCTCAGACCCATTAGCTCAGTGTTCACCCACCCGCCACCAGGGCTCCTCCCAAGTAGAACCCAAAGCCTCGCTCTAATTCCTAGCAACCCTCTAAGACATGGTGGACCTGCCCCACGTACTTTCCAAGGCAGCAGTCTTTATGGGTGCAGACTGCCACATCTGACTCCCACAGAGCAAGTGGTAGCTCAGAACCACCAACCTTTCAGTTAGCAGTCAAAGGCTTCAACACCCCTCCACCAGGGTAACTTACTGTAGAGAAAGACAGACTGAACTGTCAACCCCAGCCCTGCCACTGCCTGGCTGTTTTACTTAACCAAATTCCTTCAACCCCCTGTGTGGTTTTTATCTGTAAAACTCATCTCCCGGGTCCCTTCTTACATAAGTCTTCATGCTTGGCAACCAAACAATCCTGGTTAAATACAGTCCTCCCACTCTGAACCTGTACAGCTGTACAAGTGAACATGATGAGGCATACACACAACCGTGCTGACTCTCAGACGCCTGGTGGTTCCGTGGTTAGAGCAACCACCTGCAAACTGAAAGCCGTTCACACCCGAGAGCGGCGCTGTGGGAGAAAGACGAGGCAGTCTGCTTCTATAAAGATGCAGAAACTCCGTGGAGCAGTTAGTGCTACTCGGTCCTGTGAGATGGCTATGAGTCAGCGTCGACTTAAGGACAGTGAGTTAGATTTTCCTTTTTGCTTTAATGCTGTTCAGGTCTCACTTTCAAGGCCTGACCATGAACTTGAAATGGGTCCTTCCTGCTGCCAGACACCTACTAGCCTTCTCCAGACACCTGCTCTCCCACTGACACCTGTCCCGCCCTCCTCAAACTCCCAGCACCTTCCCCTGCTCCTAACCTTGGCCACCAGGTGAGTCTCCACACTCTCGCACCACCATGTCTATTTACCTTCCAGCCCTTGCATCCGCGTGTTATGTTGCCTTCCCAGCTGTTACTGAGGAGGAACTATTCGTGCCCCTTGGCAACATACACATAGGTCTCTCATCTTTCTGCATCATTCATTTCTCAGTCTACCAGATCATTCCCATCGGCCTACAACATACTGTTATTTCCCCCATCTTACAAGCAAGCAAGCAAAAAAACCCCCAAGATCATCTTTTCTGGATTCTACCAGCTATTCCTTTTTTTTTTTTAAAGTTCCTTCTTCCACCAGAGTTAACTTCTTGATTTCTAATCCCGTTCCTCTCCCCTCTTAAACCAACTCCAACCAGACTTTTGCTTCAACTTGATACCCACGGTCAGGAGTTCCTTGGGAGAAAGGGCTTTTTACTCCCGTAAAGTCTCAGAACCTTCCAAGGGCAGCTCTTCCCTGCCCTAGAGGGTCACTATGAGTCAGCATCGACTCAGTGGCAGTGAGTTTGGTTTATTTGTCTTGAAGTAAAATCCAAAATCCTTATCATAGCCTACAAAGTCTTGGCCTTCATGGGTTGTCCCATCCTCATTATACCTCTGACTTCCTTTCCTTCCCATTGCCACATAGATCTGTTCTTTCTGCCTGAAATGCTCTCCCAAGATTTCTGCTTGGCTGCTCACCCTGACTAGTTAATATTCCACCCTGACGCTGTTTCTTCCCGTCACACGTAGATGTTGTCCACCGCTTGGGGGATAGGGGGAATCAAAGAGCAAATACTTACACTTTATCCTGGGGCTGGATTATGGGCTATAGTACAAAAGGTTTTATTTGCCAGGGGGCTACTAAGTTTTTGTTTTTCCTGAAATGGAGGCAGTAGGCTTCAAATAAGCTCGGGAGTTTTGGAACCCATGTTCTAATATTTTGTATAATTTCCACCACCATGGGAGCTCCCTGAGGTCAGAGATGTATTCCAAGAACACAGAACAGTGTCTGAGGCAAGGTAGACAATACGGGAAGGCACCAGAGGTGTAGTGATGTTTGCATACACCGCGTACAATGAACACTGCATCATGATTACCAGGGGAGAGTTAAGATTCAGGACCAAGTCTGGGGTCTACTGTGGCCAAAACTAAAGAAGTAAGCGTCAAGCTGTCCACTTGGAAGAAAAATGTCAACAGTGCTCAGGAATGACAACTTGGAGGGCGGGAAGAGCTAGAGAGATAGGAACTGTGGGAGCCACAGGGGAACGTGATTGTTCCCAGACCCAGGTCTGGTCCAGCATCCTTGTTTGTCTACGTAGAGGGGCACCCATTTATTCAACACGCACGCTGTGCCCGGCGCAGGGTCGACAAGCAGCTTCTCTGGAAGGGTCCCACTGAAGTTTAGTGACTAAAACCATCATCCAGTGGTCCTCACCCTGCCTCACCGAAGCCTCCCGGTTCCACCACGGAACTGATCACGCCCCCCGAGCTGTCCCCAGGCCCGAGGCAGCCCCCTTGGGAACCTTTTCCCACAGAGGTTGACGAGTACCTGTCTTCTGCACCGGGCCCGGTAGATCATAGGGTCTGCAAAAGGTTCGGACGCCCCTCGGGGCGGTGGAGGCTGCGGGAATACCTCCCAGAGGGCTGGCGTGCGCTAAGTCTACCTCCGGGTGGTGTAGGAGTTTTCCCGACAGAGAAGGGGGATGCGAGGAGGGTGGCCCCCCCAAGGCTAGCGGTACAGAGCGAGCTAAGGCTCCGAGAGCCCACCTCATCTCCCCCACCATCCGTGCAATGCAAACACCCCCCGCGGGGACACGTAGCCAGCCGTCCTCTGCCCGGTCCCCACGGGGGCCTACCTTCTGGGGGTCTTGTCCGCGAGGATCACGCTGATCGGCCCCGGGCAACTGGGTCGCCGAACGTGAAAATGCTCGCCACCGCCCAAGCGCAGCTCACCCGGCGCCCGGCGCCATGTTGGACCCGCCCCCTCGCGGCACAGGTCCGGGCAGAGGCGAGCAACACGGGAGCCCCTTCGCAGCCCTGCACAAGGCCGCTAGGGCCGCAGCCCTGAAATCATCTGAAAACACTGTTTCTAAATATATGTGAAAAGAGACCTCTCCGTCTCAGTTACTTTGACTGGACCCTTCACTACCCAGCGACCAGGACCTTCGGGAGGCGCCACCAATCCGGGCGGGGAACCGTGGAGCCCCGCCCCCTGGGGGGTTGGTTTTGCGCATGCGCCCCGACGGCTAGGTTGGCTCCCAGCCGCCGCCGACGGGCTCTGCACTTAAAGGGGCCGCTGCTCTGCCGAAGTTGGTTTGAAAGTAAGATCTTGGCTGTTTGTAGACTGCGCTTTGTCATGGGACCTGTGCGTCTGGGGACGTTGTTTTTCCTTGTGGTCGTGTTCGGGGCTTTAGCTGGGACGCCGAAGGAGGAGGACGATGACTCAGAACGCTTACCCAGCAAATGCGAAGGTACCCTACCTCTGTGTCTCTGCCCCACCTCCCATGGTTGGGGGCACTTGGGGATGAGGGTGGAAGAAAGGTTGGAGCCAGGGAATAAAGAACTTGTATACTATTGCCAAAAGCATTGGCTGTGGTCCCCGTAAGAGGCCTGTTGTTTTTAGGCGCCATCGAGTGGGGTCCCACCCATAGCGACCCCACGTACAAGGGAAGGAAACACTGCCTGTCCCGTGTTGCCCTCCCCCATTGTGGCTCTTAGAGCCCACGTGGCAGCCATTGGCGACAATCCATCTTCTTGAGGGTCTTTCTCGTTTACACCGACCCCTCTACTTTACCAAGCATGGTGCCCTCTCCAGGGACCAGTCCCTACTGACAACCTGCCCCAAAGTTGTTGAAACCAAGTCCCACCCTCCTGGTTTCTAAGGAACTTTCCAGCTGCCATTCCGCCAAGGGAGATGTGTTGATTCTTCAGAAAGCACTTGCTGTATTCAATTCTCTTTGCTGACCCAAACCCAACCCACTGCCATCTCTTCATTCCAGACTTGTAGCAACGCTATAGAGGGTTTCTGAAAGTGGCCATCTTTACGGAAGCAGGAAGCCTTACTGACCAAGATCTGATGGCTTGTGAGGATGGGTACGCCTGGAAAGCCCACCCACCTTGATGGGCCTTCAGCCTTGAAAGCCTGAGGGCTGTTTGGTGAACTTAGAGTTTGGAAGAGATGTAGAACTGCACAGTGCGATATGGCCCTGCAATTGCCACGAGACATCCAGCGGGAACTCACTTTGTCTTGAGAGCTTGGGGTCCAAGGGAACTGTAGTTGAGGACTTTCTGTCCAGGACTGTCCACTGTACTGAGCATCTGCAGGGTGTGTGTGTTCCTCTCACTGTTCCTAAATCTGGGGTGCCTACAGGAGTGGTGTGTGTGGCGGGTGTGGCCATCCTCTGCCCCACCTTGGCAGAGACGCTCTCAAATTACAGGGCCCATGAACCCCGAAGGGGTTTGAGAGTGAGCAATTCAACGCTTGATGCTCATGAGAGACACTGCACATTTGGGTAATTGGTCGGGTTCCTTAAGTTGTTGCCTTCCTGCCTTTAGTTTCATTTGTGGATCTTTTTTCTTTCTGCCCCCTCTCGTACTGTGTGTCAGTATCAGTGTTTCTCAGACTTTGGTCCTAAGCTCCCTTCGCCCCTTGGCTTTTTTGTCCCAGCGCTTCTACCCCCATCCTCACCTCCATCGTTCTTTTAAACATTGACCTAATTGTGGTGAAAGGAGGCCTGGTGACATCGTGGATTATACCTTGGGCTGCTATTGTGTTAGACAGGGTTCTCTAGAGAAACAAGACCAGGACACTTATGATTTTATATATATTTATATAGATAGATAACATAAGAAATAAACAGCTAATTAGTCTATAGAGCAGTACAAATGGCTCAGTTCAACTCACTTCCGTGAGACAGCTAATATACTGGCAGTCCTTCAAGTCTCGAGGGCCACTGGGTGCAAGTCAAGGAAGCAGACAGCTGAGTCCTCTGTAGAGCAATTCAGGCAATCCAGCCACAGGCAGCAAACAGCAAGGCAGGTCACCAACAGTCAGCTAGATGACAGGGTCTGACGTCCCCAGCTCAAGCAATATATATACTCCAGTAGCATGGCAAAGCAGGTCTTGAAGGAACCTCAAACTACAGTGACACAGTCCACAGATTAGGTGCCCCACAGGTAATGTAGCTCACAAGTTGAGGCAGAGAACCAGCTAAGGCAGCCGTACACCACAATGGTCCAATCACCAAAGAGCAAGAGGCAAGAAAGGCAAGGCTCCCCCAGCCATTTATCTCTCCGCCCTTCACTTAAACTCCCCTTCGATTAATCCAACATGCGTTTATTGACCAGGTTGGCACAGTAAACCTACCTATCATAGCTGCTAGCCACAAGATCAGCAGTTCAAAACCACCAGCTTCTCTGCAGGAGAAACATGAGGCTTTCTACCTTCATTAAAACTTACAATCTGTACCCTGTCCTAAAGGGTGCCTATGAGTCAGTATCGACTGGAGGGCAGTGAGTTTGATTTTTTTTTTTTCCCTCCTGGTTATATGAAGACATCACAACTCTGCTTGCTAAAAGCGAGCAGCTGCTGATGCAAATCAAAGACTGTAGCCTTTCATATGGATTGCAACTCAACGCACACAAACATCTGCATGCCTGGACCAGCAGATAGCAGTGTGATAAGTGGAGAAAAGATGGATGTTATCAAGGAGTTCAGTTTCCTTGGACCCACAGTCAATGTCCACCAAAGCAGGAGCCACAAGCCACGCGATGTATTTCTTGAATTGGGCAGATCTGCTACGCAAGACCTCTTTAACGTGTTGAAGAACAAGGATGCCGTTTTGAGGCCTAAGGTGTGCCGTCCCCCAACCATGGCCCTTTCAGTCGCCTCATATGCATGTGAGGAGCCCTGGTGGCATAGTGGTGACATGCTGAGCTGCTAACTGTGAGGTCAGTCAGTTCAAGACCACCAGCCACTCCCAGGAGAAAGAGAAGGCTTTCTACTCCAGTGACGTTACCTGTCTCAGATAACCACAGGGGCAGGTCTACTCTATCCTACAGGGCTGCTATGAGTCGGTATTGGCTGGATGGCAGTGACTTTAGATTTTTGTTTTGGTCTGCCATAGTCTTCCCAGCAGTTGGCAAGTCATGTGGCATGTGGTGGGTCCCCTCCCACTCCGCCCCCCCCCCCCCCCCCCCCCCCCCCCCCCCCCCGAAAGGAATGGCCAACAGAGAATTGCCTAAAGTGTGCCAGGCGCTGTACCAGGACTGGGAAATACACAGGCACACACAGCCTTTCAAGTAGTACTTTATAGAGGGAGAGGCACAGTATACAGCTGAGAAGTGCTTTCCAATGCAGGTGACATTTAAAGGGAGCTTTGAAGAATGTGTAAGTGCATTTCCTTATGAGGCGAAGCCCTTGGCTCCATCACACCATATTGTTATCCCCTGTTTATCCATCCGTCCCCTTGGCAATGTCCCCTGCCCCATGGATAGGGGTCATGCATTTTATTGCTCTGTCATCAGCATGTATACAGAAGGCACTTCACACATGGTTGCAGGGTAACAGCAAACACTCACAGTGCTTACTATATGCCAGACAGTCTTCTAGGGGCCTTCCATATATTGACTTATTTCATCCTCAACACCCCCTTTGAGAGGGGCGCATTTGCCCTTGGAGAGGTGAAGATCTCTACACAGCAAGGGCATCACACGCCCGAAGTGACTGAGCCAGAATCCCTGCCCAGTCAAAATGGCCCCAAAGCCTGTACTTAAAACTCTCCTGCTGCAGTTATAGGTCACCTACAGAATGAGGTGCTAGTGGGTTTTTCGTTCATATCTCTTCGGGCATCTTTATTCTATAACAGTCTGTAAATTGCTGAGCCTGGAGCTACAGGAGGAACTGAGCCGTACTGGCCGGTCACGAGAGGTGCTGGAGCTCGGGCAGGTGTTGGACACGGGCAAGAGGAAGAGACACATCCCTTACAGCATCTCGTGAGTCCTCCTTGGTGCCCCCTCACCTTCCAACCCCTGTAAGAGCCCTAGGAGTGCCTCAGCACCCAAGGAGTCTTTATTTCTCCTCTTCCAGGGAGACAAGACTGGAAGAGGCCTTGGAGAATTTGTGTGAGCGGATCCTGGAATACACCGTGCATGCTGAACGCAAGGGTTCACTGAGATACGCCAAGGTCAGACCCTTCCCAGGGCAGCTGTGGAGAGGGAGCCTGCCTCATAGTGATAATGCTTTGTATCCTCAGAGGTCCACAAGAGGCCTGCCCGTCACCTTTCATCTCCAGTGTCCCCTTCTCATCGGGTTCTCTCCTCTTGGCTTCTTGGAACTTACCTTAAGTCTCAGATAGTTGAACAAGTGGGCATGGTGGGAAAAAGGATGTGGGCAGTGGGCCTGGCTGATCCCCAAATTCCCATCTCTCAGGGGCAGAGTCAGACCATGGCAACGCTGAAAGGCCTGGTTCAGAAGGGGGTGAAGGTAGATCTGGGAATCCCTCTGGAACTGTGGGACGAGCCCAGCGTGGAGGTCACCTTCCTCAAGAAGCAGGTAGGAGAGGATACTGCACTACCCACTGAGGGGTTGGGGGTGGATGGCGGGGAGAAGGGACCCTAAGAGAAATCTGGGTCTTACTGGCTGTTGGGGACATATCCCTAAGGAGAGAAAGAAGGGGGCAGAAGACTCCTCTATCAAGTGGAGTGGGCTTGGGAACTGATCAAAAAGTGATTAAAAGTAGGCTAATAAACCACCACTACTAAGGGCCAAGGAGCCCTGGTGGCATAGTGGACTTCACATTGAGCTAACCACAGGTCCGGGATTTGAACTCAGCAGCCACGCTCCCTGGGGGACAGATGAGGCTGTCTGATCCTGTAAAAAATGTAAGTCTCAGAAACTCAAGGGGACAGTTCTACTGTCTTATGGGGTCGATATGAGTCAAAATGGACTCAACGGCAGTGAGTTTTGGCCCTGCCATAGGCACAACCCAATACTTCGCGGCTGCTGCCTCATTTTACCCTCCTTGCAATCCATACACAGTTGGTACTCTTACCATGCCCCATTTGACAGAAGTTTAGCAAACTGCCCAGCACAAACCCAAAAACCAGACTCACAGCCCTCAGTCCATGCCGATTCATAGCGACCCTATACAGAGTGCTAGTAAATGTTCAGTCAGAGTGACTCGCACATCTAGTAAGCCAAGCTTAAACTCCAGGCCGCTTGTCTCGCCAAAGTCAACCAGGCGGGGGAGGGGAGTCAAGGACTGGAGAGCAGAGAGGAGGGCTTCCAAAGCCCAGCAGAGCAGACACCCTTCTGATCCCTCCACTTGAATCAGTGTGAAACGATGCTGGAGGAGTTTGAAGACGTCGTGGGAAACTGGTACTTCCACCACCAAGAGCAGCCGCTACAACATTTTCTCTGTAAAGACCACGTGCTCTCAGCTGCAGAAACTGGTAAGTATGTGAGCTGGCCTCCCTGCCTGGCAGGGCACAACCTCTATGATCAGCAGCTAAACTATCTTCTCTCACCCAACCTAGCATGTCTAGAGGAAAGTTGGACCGGAAAGGAGAAGATCACAGATGGACAAGAGAAAACAGAAGAGGAGGAGGAACATGAAGAAGAGGAGGAAGAAGAGAAAACCAAGTCAGCAGGCCACCCCAAGCATGACCCAGAAGACCTTTGACTCTTCTTTGAGTCCCCAGGAAGGACGGGGTCATGGAGAGGAACCTTCTGAGTTTTCCCTGCCCCACAGCTTTAAGGGCGTATGTTGTGTGTGAGTGACCTGGCTCCGAGCTCTCATCTGATCCTAGGCAGGATCCCAGTGGTGCAGCAGGGCGTATTTGGGGGGAGGGGGAAATAGCAGGTAGAATCTTGACTCAACAGACAGCCCTCTGCCCACCAGCCCGCACCCTAAATGCTGTGTGTGTGCTGAAGGAGCTAGAGTGTATTGTTGGGCTGCTAAGCACAGGGCAGCAGTTCAAAACCAGCAGTCATTTCACAGGAGAAAGATGAAGCTTTCCACTCCGGTAAAGGTGCATAGTCTCTGAAACCCGCAGGAGCGGTTATGCTGTCCTGTAGGCTCCCTTAGGAGGGGGAATCAATCCGATAGCAGTGAGTGAGTGTGTTTGCTGACAGTAGCCAAGGTATTTCCCCTGCTGAGTATCCGAGACCTCAGAGGTCACAGGTGGCGTAGTGGGCTCTGAATTGGGTTGCGAACCACGAAGTTAGCAGTGTGACACCCCCAGCAACTCCGGAGGGAAATGAGAAAGGTTTCCATTTCTGTAAAGAAAGGCAGTCCCGGAAACCCGTAGAGGCAGTTCTACTCTGTCCTACCGGGGCCCTATGAGTCAGAATGGCCCCCATGGCAGTGCGTTGGGTTGGGTTTATTTTATCAGCAGAGGTCAGTGATTTGGTAAAGGCATTGCCTCTCTGGGTCTCGATTTTTAGACCCTTGTAGGAAGGACACGACGGTGCAGAGCCTCCTTCTGTTGTGCATAGGGTCTCTATGGGTTAGAGCCTACTGGATGGTATCTAACAACAACAACAACGTTCGACGATCCCAGAGTAGGCATTTCCTACCACCTGTTCACACGGGCTGCCTCTAGGAGGCTGTGTGCCAGCCAAGTGAACAAGGAGACCCTGGATGGGCATGGGGTGATGCTAAATTAGGCAGGTGGCTTCTCGGTCTACTTCATAGTAATTTCACCAAGGGTGCCATACTTTATATCATTTCACAGGTGCCAAGATTTCTATTTCACTATTAAACGTTTATATGGATATATACGCAGGGCCTGAAGTTTCAACACCTCTCTCTGCATGCACCACCGTCATCAGGATGGTGACGTCCTGTTTAAACGAATGGTGCTTTCTAACTCGGTAGTTCAGGGGCACTGGAAGCAACCAATAGGTTGTACGTAAGCTTGATTTGGTGCAGTTTTCCCGCGCGGATTTGGTCTCCGAGCCTCGGTGGTGTAGCGCTGCTAACTTCAAGGTCAGCAGTTCGAAACGACCCGCCGCTGCGCGGGAGAAAGACAGCTTGCTCAGTTCCATTAGGAGGTACAGTCTTGGAAACCCATAGGCGCAGTTCTACCCAGTCCGATGGGCTCGCTATCAACTCCGTGGCGGTGAGAGGTTCGGTAACGCCCGGAAGTTTAAATTCCATGGACGTTGGCACTTCCGCCGCCGTCCTGGGGTTTACGGAAACTCGCAGGGGACACAACCCCTTCCGCGTTTCGCTTGCTGCTCTTTGCCGGAAGCAGTACCCCAGGTCCGAGGTAGGATGCAAGGGTGGGGGGAACCCCTTGGAGGGTGGTGGGTGCGGATCTGCCACGCTAGCGTGGGACTGGGGGTAGGTGGGGGGGGGGCCTGAGGCCGGGGCGGGGAACTTCCGGTCACGTGGGCGGAAGGGCCGGTTGGGAGAAACCATATTCCGAAGGGGGGTGACGCTGCCACCGGAAGGGAGCGGTAACGAGACGTGGGAGATGCCACTCTAGGGGGTGGCGGGGGCCGAGTGGCGTGGGAAGGCGGCGTGCCGGGGTGCGGCCATGAGTGGCACAGTGCGGACCGAGCCGCTGCGTGGGAAGCCGCCTCTGCTGATGCCTGGCGGCCCCTACTCGGTGGTCGTCCTGCTGCAAGGCTACGCGGAGCCCGAAGGGGCCAATGGCGCCGTGCACGCAGACGGTTCCGTGACCCTTGTCCTGCCCCGGGACTGGGCTCTGGTCTCCAGCCATCAAGAGCGTCTTTGTGGGTGCGACCAGGCGAAGACGGCCCTGGAGGAGGCCGCCCGGGGCCCTATCGTGGTGGACACGGGGGGCCCCTGGGCTCGAGAGGCACTGCTGGGGGCCCTGGCGGGGCAGGGCGTGGCCCCCGGGGACGTGACGCTGGTGGTGGGGACCCACGGGCACTCTGATCACATCGGGAACCTGGGGCTGTTCCCGGGGGCGGCTCTTCTGGTCTCTCACGACTTGTGCCTCCCTGGGGGCCGCTACCTCCCCCACGAGCTGAATGAGGAGCGGCCCCTGCGCCTGGGCCCAGGCTTGGAGGTGTGGGCCACGCCAGGCCACGGAGGTCAAAGAGACGTGAGCTTGGTGGTGGCAGGTACAACCCTAGGGACCGTCATCGTGGCGGGCGACGTGTTTGAACGCAGTGGGGACGAGGACTCTTGGCAAGCACTGAGCGAGGACCCGGTGGCCCAGGAGCGGAGCCGAAAGAGGGTGCTAAGCCTTGCTGATGTGGTCGTGCCTGGTCACGGGGCACCCTTTAGCGTGGCCAGAGAAGTCTCCTAATCAGAGACAGAGGATTCAGGCAGAAGCCAACCAGAACCCGATGTGGGAGACTAGGAGGCCACCCTGCATGATCGAGTACTGGGAAGGAGTTGGACTCTTGCCAGAAAAGCCCCTCGAAGCCCAGAAGACAAAGGCTTTGCAGCATCAGCCAGGCTGGGAGAGGAATCTTCCAGCCCTTGCAAGAGGGGGATTTTCATTGGAAGTAAGACACTGCCCTGTCCACTGCTGCGGACAGTATCACCCTCTGCCTGCCTCTGAACCAGAGTAGGACCAAGGACTGGCCCTGCTTTATGTGTGACTTCCCAGGGGCATGGTACGAAAAGGGGGAGAACCTTCTTGTGAGGTCTGGCCAAAAGAATAAAAATTGAAAGCCCTATTGGAAATTACATTGACTGTCCAATGCAAAGCTGAAACATTATTGGTGGTTGTTCCGTACGTTCAAGTCAGTCTGCCTCATAGTGAACCTGTCTATGCACAACAGAATGCAACACTGCCGAGTCCAGAGCCATCCTCACACAGGTTGTATTTGAGTCCCTTGTGGCAGCCACTGTGTCAATCCAGCTCATTAAAGGTCTTCCTCTTTTTCTCACTGACTGACTTTACCAAACATGAAGCATTCATAAAGCCCAAAGATAAAAAAATTTAGACAACACTTAAAAAAAGCAACAACTAAAGATCTACTGCCAATTAGTTGATTTTAACTCAGCGCCCCTGTGTAGTGTTTCTGAGGCTGTAAATCTTTATGAGAGCATATAGCCTCAACTTCTTCCCTAAGAGCAGCTGGTGGGTTTGAACCTCCTCTGTGGTTAGCAATCCCACACCTGAAAGTGGTACCAGGGCTCCTGAACCAGTAATAGTGATCACTATTTACCAGCACTCGTTGACTATGGCTGTGAGTACGGTTTTGTTTGGAGTTGTTGTCATGGGAATCTATGCTGAGTCATGGTAACCTCGTGTGTTAGTGTAGAGATGATCAAAAGGGAACTTTAACAATTTCAATTTCAGTGACTGGCTTTTCCAAAATAGATCACCAAACCTTTCTTCCAAAGCACCTCTGGATGGATTTGAACCTCCAACCTTCCTGTTAACAGCTGGGTGGGCTTAACCATGTGTACGATGCAGGGACTATGCATATGTGTTGTTAGGTGCCCTCCAGCTGGTTTGACTCAGAGCAACTCTATGTCCAACAGAGCGAAACACTGCCCTGTCCCGCACCATCTTTACAACTGTTATGTTTGAGCCCATTCTTGCAGCTACGGTGTCAATACAAATTGGCAATGAAAGCAGGGAGGTGCTTTGCCTAACTGCCCATTTCTCTTGGGGTATAGGCTACAGGAGAAGGAGGCCAAAATGTTAGGAACCTAAATTGCTCAGACGTATTCCAGATTAGGAGCCTTGGTGGGGTAGTGGTGGCACATTGGGTAGCTAACTGCTAGGCCGGTACTTCAAAACCACCAGCTGCTTCTCCAAAGAAAGATGGAGCTTTCTACTCCCAGGAAGAGTTACAGCCTTGGAAAGGACACAGGGGCCGTTCTACCCGTGCTACAGGGTCGTTCTGAGTGGGCATCGACTCGATGCCAGTGAGTTCAAGTTTCCACTCTACAGCATGTCCATTTGCCCTTCTTCCACATTCATTCCTACCTTTTGAGGTGGATCCCAAGGCAATCGCTGTGCTTTGGATTTCCTGTGTTGATTATCTGAAGGACTGTACCACCTTGGTTTTGTTTGCCCTGCATCCATCTTGGAGTCAGTTCTGACTTGTAGTGACTGTGATACCAGAATCCAAACTTATTGCCATCAAGTCGAGGCTGACTCACAACACCCCCGTAGGACAGGGTAGAGCTGTTCCTGTGAGTTTCAGAGACTAACTGTTTACCGGAGTAGAAAGCCCACATCAACCTGGGTGGGCCAAGATTCTCCCATGACACGATCTAACATTGTGTGGTCAATGGGATCTTCCATGAAGCAGCCAAGCAGTTGTGGGGAGAATAGACTCCCTTAATCCATTCACAGTCTCTATAGGATTGAGGGAGGTTGAATTCAGGGTGTGGCCTACTCTTAGAATAAATTGTGTATGGAAGCTAGCCGACTTCTGCTGCTGGATTTGCATCCTGGATCTGGGCCCTCAACCTATTGTTAGATACCACCTGCTGATCCGAGGAGCAATCTGGATTGCCAACCTTGGATTCATTCAGCTTTGTATCCACCAGCCTGTGCTCTTCCCGTTTCATCATCTTGCTTCCTGTTCATCAGCTTCTGCAGTTACGGGGGTCAGGAGAAGCCCTCAGCTTATATCTGACCCATAGACTTGAACTAGACTGGACTTACCCACTTCTACAACTGTATGAGATAGTTCTTAATAGAACTCTTTTTTCTACATACTTACTCATACAAGCGTCACTGGTTTTGTTTCTAGAGAGCCCAGCCCAACCCAGTGACCCTATAGGACAGAATAGAACTGCTCCATAGGGTTTCCAAGCTGTAAATCCTTATGGGAGCAGATAGCCTCATCTTTCTCCTGAAAAATAACTGGTGGTTTTTGAACCACCGGCCTTGCTGATAAAAGCCCAACAGTTAACCCACAGCACCATTTTCTTAGCTTTTTTTTTTCTTGTTTATAACTGGTATTTTATTGGTTGTTTTGAGATCAGGACAGAGACATTATGAACAGTTTGTACACAATTCTTAATGTGCATATCAAAATCCTAAAAGAGCATGTAGATACAATTCTTTTCTAAATTCCAGTGACTTCAGCTTTACATGTGGAGGCAATTTTTAAAAAGTGGTTATCCAGAACCACTATCTTCAAATGTTATAAGCTGTTACATCTTAAAGTCCCACTGGTTCACAATTTAATGTCACACACACTACACACTGAGGTGTTCAACCCCTTACAGCACAGGAAAAAGGAGCTAACACCACCAAAGGTATTTCAGAATGCACACAGTTCTGACAGGAAAGCCAGGGGACAGAATGGTTTTCAGACACAATTCCATTAAAACAACAACAACAACATGGAAACAGAATTTTAAACGTTCAAGCCATCCAAATGCATGACCGGGACTCTCTGTTGTCAGTCAGGATGTTCTGTATTAGAGATGCAGAAACTCCCTCTCATCCTATGGAATGGGATGTTTGACACCCAAGAGAGTCAAATCTTCCCACCATTCAACATCCTGCGGTTTTCTGGTTGTGCCAAAAAATAAACATCCAGTAAACGACTTCACATCTTTAAAAAAAGCATTTACGCTTAAGTAAATAGGACCAAGTGGGATTTCCTCCTTCTGAAAAAAAAAAAATGTTTCTAGAGCTACTAAAACACTCGCACTTAGCACATAGTTGGTAAAACTATCAGGGCAAGGAGGCTGCCCCTCCGCTGCCCACAGACCTGTGAGAGCCCGCCCATTTTCTTAGCACTTAGATAATCGTTCATTGTCCTGTGGTTTTCACCCTACACGTCACTCTGTTTTAAAGCTATTTTCTCACCCTGTGACACGTGAGGCCACTGTGTTAGCACCAGCTTGAAGCCAAGGGGTTTGGAATTTTTGTTTTGTTCTCTTTTGTTTGGGGCAATAGCTTTCTCCATGAATTTCATTCCAAGACTGCCTTTTTTCCTTATTTCTTTTGTATTTTCCTTTCTCCGGTTTATTTTCACAATTTCTATTTCCTCAAAATTCTGATCGTCTTCATTCTCAAACCGAAATAGACGGACTCAATGACACCTTTGAACAGCCCTGCACGATGGTTGGTCCCCTACACCTGGGGGCGGGGGTTCACCTCTTCCCCGGGTGCGGTGTGGTGGGGGTGGTTTGAGGCTGGCTTTCTGGAGAAGAAAGATTCTTGTGAGACTTGTGTTTTTTCCAGCACAGGCACACTTCTCTAGGCCTGTACCAAGAAGGGAATCTTTTAAGAGACTGAAAATATTTTATTTAGCCATTGACTTTAGGATTCATTCTTTTCTTCTCCCATTGCTAGTGTTAAGAGTGCTTAGTCTGTTTTTGCTGTTGGAAACAAAATTCCTTCTTAAATGTTCAGTTTTGCAAAGGTTCTCGTCTGGCCCCTCTTCCTGTATTCTCGACATTCCCGTCTGGCCACCAAATACCAAAGGTTCTTGTCTGGCCCCTCTTCCTGTATGCTCCACATTCCTGTCTGGCCACCAAATACCGTCCAGTTCACATGCGATTCACCTGTGAGTCTCGATCCTCCCCTGAGCTAGAGAGATCATCCACTTAGATATCCTCCCGCAAGCACTTGAACGTGCTCCCAAACCATCTTCTTCTCTACGAATACACTCTTTGTCCTCAAGCTCTACTCTTTGCCTCCAAACACACACTTCCTTTTTTGTCGAGGTAAAGTCAGGTACCCTCAGTTGCTCGTCTAGTAACTCAGAGGGTCACAGAGCCTCCCTTTCCCTCGACCCCTCACCGTCAATCACCAGGCCCTCTACTGGACAGCTCTCAACTTTGCTTGAGCCTCCCCTCCACTCCAGCAAAGCAAAAAAGTTGGTCCCGATGTTTGTTCTCTTATGCTTGGACTTCCAAAACGTCCTGCGCCTGGCTACTGCCCCCTCCATTCGTAGCCAGTCTCCTGTTTAGTCTCTGTATTGCAAGCATAACAGTAATTTTTAGTGCCCCTTCATTAACTTCCAAGTGCCTTCCTGGCTAAGTTCAAACAATTGTGTATGTAATAGGACATACATCTTCCTCTCATTACCTGTTGAGATAGTCCTTCACTTCCCCAATCCCACAGCCATAGGGAATCCCTTGAAGTCCCACCCCCCCCACCCTGTTCTCACTTCTGTTTTTGCCCATCATGTTCCTCTGCCTCATATGATCTTGTCTTTTTTTTATCTCCCTGAAAAATCTCTTTTGTCCTGCACGCCTCATCTCTCTTCCAGCACACTTCTGTGACCAATATAACTCATATATGTCCTTTCTCCTGTGCCCTATACGTGCCCTTCATGTATACAACACACAAGTCTTCATCATACTGCACTTCTTGCTACCTAGTCCCTTATCTTACTCCTCCACCACCCTTAAAGTTCTTGTAGGGTGGAGATGATGTCTTTCAGCTGTGTCCACAGAATCTAACAACATCTGTCACATGTAGATTATAGGCCAGTATGTCTGACATGGAACAAATGTAGGAATACATGCTGAAAAATACAGTAGCAATAGAGGTCACAGGGGCCCGGACTCAGAAAAGGAAGAAATGTGGTTCAAGAATCGAAGTAGGCATCTCACATACTAAGATTCCTTACCTGCCTAGTAAGGCCCCATCATGTAGTGGGACCACATTCAAGTAACATCCATTTGAGTCTCCCATCAATGACTTGCATGGCAGATAGGATACAGAACCAGGCCTTACCTGAATCTTCATCTCTGTAGTGACAGGCAGGCTGTTACATTATAGACAGGGCTAAACATTATAAATCAGAGTTTTTTAGCCCCCCCACCCACCAATTGCCCCTGGAATCAACTCTACCACCCCACCCCTAGTAGTGGTCTCTCAAGATTCACAACCCAACTGCTGCTTCATTGGAGTGGCTTAAGTTCACTTGTGCCCGAGCCTGGACTGCCCAGCCCCGGG